TTATCATTTTGCAGGACTTAATATAGTATGTGGTATTTTTTATCATTTTGCAGGACTAACTATAGTAGGTGGTATTTTTTATCATTTTGGAGGACTTACTATAGTATGTGGTATTTTGTATCATGTTGGAGGACTTACTATAGTGTGGTATTTTTTATCATTTTGCAGGACTTAATATAGTAGGTGGTATTTTTTATCATTTTGCAGGACTAACTATAGTAGGTGGTATTTTTTATCATTTTGGAGGACTTACTACAGTATGTGGTATTTTGTATCTTATTAGAGGACTTACTGCAGTATGTGGTATTTTGTATCATTTTGGAGTACGTAGTATTTGGTGGTTTTTTTTTTTATTATTTTATTTTAATAAGGCATCCTTTTCCCTAATGAACAACTTCTGGTGTCAGCCCAATCCAAGAGTGCCACTAAAAGCACCTTAAGTTTTGAAAACATATAAATGGCTTTAAAGCAGTTTTACAGATGTTGTGTTGAAATGATTTGTTTGGAGCTGATAATCATTCACATGTTTCACTCGTTGTGTGCTCACAGGTATACTTTAAAGACACTCATCCTAAATTCCCAGAAGGAGGAAAGATGAGTCAATATTTGGAGAGCCTTAAGATCAATGACACTATTGACTTCAGAGGGCCCAGTGGGCTCCTTGTTTACAAAGGAAAAGGTGAGGTAAACAATGAGACAGGGCATGAAACGATTTGCTTTATAATTTCCATTTCTAACTTCATGACTGAATCCAGAAGGAGTAGGTTGTTGCTGAAGATGTTTTATCAAACTTTCTTCTGCAGGTATTTTTGAAATTCAGCCTGAGAAAAAGTCTCCAGCTCTGACCAAAACAGCAAAATATTTGGGCATGATCGCTGGAGGAACAGGTGAGGATGGAAATGATTACCTAAATTTGTACCTTTGTCTACTGAAAAGTAATAGAACATTAAACCGTATGAATGAATTGAAAATAATTCACTTGGTAGTTCTTTGTAAAACAAAATTATTTACAAATGGTTTATTTTGAAAGTAAAAGAACAACAAAAAAAAAACATTTGAATAATGTTGCACTCCAAAATAAAAGGCTGGAAAAAATATACAATCATTTATAGAATAAAAATAGATGCCACCTATTCTGTTGTCAGGAAAGCCACATGATCCCAAATTGAACCACTGCCTTATTTAAAAGTTACTGTGTTTGGTCACATGATTTTTGCTTGTGCTTTCAGTTTAAACTAGCTTAATCTCAATATTTGATCAGACTCCACCCACAAAGTTCTTTCAGAGCATATCAGCTGCTACACCCAGTCTTGTATTACTGCATAATTTACTCAAATATTTAATCTATAAGGCACTAAAAAGGTCAAATTTGACCAAAAGCTCCACATACCAACACAATTCGTTACACTTGTGTTTCAGGGATCACACCCATGCTGCAGCTCATCACTGCAGTGATGAAGGATCCTCAGGACCAAACAGTGTGTCACCTGCTGTTTGCCAACCAGGTGAGCTCCATGAGAACAGACTGTTTTAGTCTCAGTTCAGGAGGGAAGAAAAAAAATCATTATATTTTAATAATGTGGATGTTCAGGTGAAAAACTGGATCTTTGGTTTCTTCTCAGACTGAAAAGGACATCCTGCTGCGGGAGGAGCTGGAGGAGATTGTGGTGAACCATCCAGACCGCTTCAAGCTGTGGTTCACTGTAGACAAAGCACCTGAAGGTGAGTTCTGGACACATGAAGAGTAATATGTAATGAAAGCCTGTGTCCATACATACATTTATGTAAGTCTCCCATGATAACAAGTGTTATCATGTGTTTAATTGATTTGGTTTCACCAGCAGGTGTCYGCATCATCCTGCTGTTTTAAACAAACTGTATGTGAATGTGTTTCAGGCTGGGAGTACAGTCAGGGCTTCATCAGTGAGGACATGGTGAGACAACACCTGCCCCCTCCCAGTGATGACACCCTCATCCTGATGTGTGGGCCTCCACCAATGATCCAGTTCGCCTGCAACCCCAACCTGGACAAAGTGGGCCACTCCTCCAGCCGCAGATTTGTCTTCTAGACATCAGATGTTTGGCTGTTTAAGGGGCTCCAGTTATTGTTTCAGCCCTGGAAGRATTAAAGCAGCAGGTATTGCACAGCGTACGCCATATTTATGATATTATGTGACACAATCTCAGAGAGGACCAATTTGAGTGATGGGATGTTGTGGAAGGTGGGATGTTTAGTGTGAAAATGAGAAATGTTGAATAAGCTGTGGCTCCAGTTTGATGATGCACTAMAGGAGCTGAGGTTTCTGGCAGGTCTGAGTGCCTTAGCGCTGACAAAGCTTTATTATCACTGTTACTGCGCTCGCTTCACTCGTTTAAAATCACAGATTTTCTTCTGTGGCTGTATGAAGTTGTTTACAATAAAATTAAAGTGTTATTGAAATTAAACTGATGCATTTCTTCYTTTTATTAGTAAAACCCATTAAGAATATTTCACTCTGTGGTAACAGGTTACTGTGTACTAATACCTCAAAGTCCCAAACAYGGATTATTTAGGTGGTAACATTAAGAAAATTCATCTGCATGAACAAGTCAGACAGGGAACCCTGACTAGTTGTAACAGACATTTATGGGCAGTGCCATATTATTTATTCTACATAGCTTACTAAGTGCCCTGCCCACTCTTTAATCTTGAACAATAAAACAATCAGCGCGTTGACAGATGATATTCAAATGACTCAGCCTGAAACTGAAAATAACCTCAGTTTAGACAACAAACGCCAACAGGTTATGTTGTCAACACTCCAGTTTCATTTAAAGGATCCTTGATTAGTTGTAACATTAGATTTTTATTTGATACATATTTTAGCTGTAGAAAATATTGTAGGCTGTTTAGTTTTGTAAATTTTTAAAAATATATTTTAACACAGAGCCATTTTATTTACACACAAAGCATTCTGGATGACATGGATAGTTCATTGGTGAGRGAGCTATATCCACCCTGAAGGTTAATRTTGGACAATATCTGATGATCGACTCTTTTAAATGAAACCAGAGAGRGTTGACAGAGAGGAGAAGGTAGAAATGACTCAGCCTGGAACTGAAAATATGGATGGAGGACAACAGAGCTGCTTCATGGAAGAAGAACCTCAGCTTAGCCTGTTAGCCTTTGTATTAGCTCAGAGCTAGCGCGACAAACAAGCTAAACTAAGGTCCTCCATCCATATTTTCAGTTGCAGGCTGAGTCGTTGCGTTCCCCTCTCAGTCATGAGGATAATGTGTAGCACTGAGCTAATACATATATATGGTGATAGCATCGGGGCTAACGCTAACATGCTAAGCTGAGGTTCTTCTTCCATGAAGCAGCTCTGTTGTCCTCCATCCATATTTTCAGTTCCAGGCTGAGTCATTTCTACCTTCTCCTCTCTGTCAACGCTCTCTGGTTTCATTTAAAAGAGTCGATCATCAGATATTGTTCAAGATTAACCTCCAGGTGGATATAGCTCGCTAGCAGCCTCGCACCGAGGCCCTATCCACATCATCATTTACCCAGAATGCTTTGTGTGTAAATAAAATGGCCCCGTCTGTGTAATATATTTTAAACTTTTAGTTTAAAAATAAAAACTAAGCATCATACAGTATTTTTAGTCTTTATTTTACAGTTAAAATATGTGTTTATTAAATAAAGTCTAATGTTACAACTAATTATGGATCCTTTTAAAAAAGCTGATTGTACAATATGCAGAGTAAATATGTGTATGTCTATTTTTAATTGAAGTAAATACCTAATGGTATAACTAGTTGGGGGTTCCCTTTAGCTAACAGTATTTTTCAATCATATAGAGAAAGATGCTAAAGCTAATGGCTCCTCAAACCAGTAGGTGAAAACTAAGAATTGTGGGAAAGAACACATGGATGTTTTACCTCTTACTTCTGACAGCCTGATGCCTGACTCAGTGTGGAGGTTTAAGAACAGCCTCTAAATGGACAAATAAGGTACTTCTTTGGTAGAAAACTTCACTTCAGTGACTCAGATTAACTGTTAGCTCCATGAGAACYTTTTCCTGATTCTATACATTTAAACTGAGATATATAACTCAAACAAGATTATTTCATCTACACACAAGTAAATTCCTCCTAAAGTACTTTATATTTTCAGTTCATGCATTATACTTTGGTCAWCTTCAATAAATACATCGATGGAGAAGCTCAGTTGGAGTTGTGAGCTTCTGTTTTGGCGTCAACTGAGATCTCCCGAAACAACTCCTCGTCCTTCAGCATGCTCTGAAACACAGGAGGAGCAACGTTTAGGTCATCCAAGTCTTTCAGATCCAATCTGTTTAGTCAGCTTCTTACAGTCAGATTGTTGATTCCCTCAGAGAAGGCTCCGATCTGCCTGACCGTCCCTTCAGAGTCTTCCATCTAAAAACACAGGCAGGGCTCAGAAATGACATGTTATAAATGAAGTACTGATGTTGGATGGTCTCTACCTGCTCCAGGTGGATGAAACTCTCGTCATAGATGCAGGCGTTCCTCTGGAAGCTGCTGTTCTTTGGCATTTCTATGTTCAGAGGGCAGACGTAGTCCTCGCTGTCGTCATAACGTTTCCTCCTCAAAGAGCCAAAACCACCAAACGATGAACGTCTTGGCTGGAAGAGAAAAGCTTTGTTAGGCATTGTGACCATTTCTTTTACTTACCCATTAGTAATCTGAATGAGAGGGGTGGTTTAAGCTGATTGATAATCCAAACAGCATGTAAACACATACTGCACAGGAGCATCCTGGTTAGATGCTAATATGTCAGGGAAAGGTTTACATTTCTAGTAAAAAACAAAAGGACGGGAAGTTATTTCAACATTTGTTCATCACAGATTTACTACTACTGTGATTTTTATTTATTTTGTTTGGGAACTTTACAACTCTTCACATGTCAGTACTTTTATTCTGAATGATCGTAGTAATTCTGTGCCTGTATYAATGATACATGTCAGTCAGCATGTWAACATAGCCAGAGACTAAGATTTGACCGTCATTTGAAGTCATTTATCAGATTTTTCCAAGTGAGYATCTTTGCAAACATACAGTGTGAACAATTAATAGCTTACCCATATTTTTAAGAGCCAAGAATAAACTTAAACATCTCCAAACTAAATCAAGATTTAACTTGTTGTCATTGTAGCAGAAAGTCCATTTATTTTTTAAATAAAATGTTTTCATGAAGTTGTTTTAAGACAGCAATCCCCCTCAAATTCTTTCTCCAAATGCTGCTTCATGTATCCACAGAATAACCTTCAGAAAGTGTTGCAGCCTAAATATTTCTCAGTGCAGGACACATTAGAGATAGTCTGGGAGCTGCAGTACTAGGACGATGTTACCTTAACCCTGGCGGTGGCTGTGAGGACTGTGTAGTCGGGGTTTTCCAGACATTCCTGTTTCTGCCGCTGTGCCTCCGAGCCGACGAGCAGGTGGAAGTGTGTGGCCAGGTGGCGTCTCAGCAGGGTTTTACTGGGAGGAATGTTGAGCAGCAGGGCCAGCGCTTCCACGTTAAAACAAGGCTCCAGCACCTTCACAAAACACGGTGGTGAGCGACGGACACACGGTCAGCTTCACTTCATGCGGAGCTGAAACTTTCCTCACCATCAGCCCTCCGTGAACTCCGCTCCCTCTCAGGTTGGGAGCATATTCTGCCAGATCCACGGAGCGCAGCCACTCCATCACTCTGTGGTTGGTCCACTGGGAGATCTCAGCCGGTGTCATGTTGTTCTGCACGATTAAGGAGAACTCAGACGGACACTTTAAAAAGGTTTGAAATGAAAGGAGGAGCGTGGGCGCTGTGATACCTCATCTGAGGGTCGTCTCCTCAGACAGCTGGGTTCATACGAGCTGAGGCGCAGCACCTGGATGGCTCGTTTGATGCTGAGGTGATGAAGAACACTGCCGACCTTCAGCGACAGCAGGTCCTCCTGGAGAAAGTGGAAAATTGAAAGCTTCAAAGGTTGTGCTAAATGTTTAAAGTCTTCACATTCAAATGTRGGATCTTTAGCTTGTTAAAGCAGTGGCTCAGGTTTAATGAGTTCRTTCAGCTCACCACTGTCATGTAGTGCAGCATGCGGCCATCAACTCGAGCTTCATCAAAGTTACTTTTGTACTGCGGGAGGCCGATGTCATCCAGCCACCCTGACAGAAAACAAACAGATCAGAAAACCTGAGCCCTACGGAGGCGGTCAGTTTGCTCTGAGACGACGTCACTCACTGGTCACCCAGTTGTGGTCCAGTTTCCCCTGAAGGTCTCCATCATCTGACCCCAGAGCCTGCAGGGCGAGCTGCAGCTTCTTCTTGTGGAGCAGCTGCTTCATTCCCAACTCCTGTAAACAAAAGCAAATACATTTCTGTAAACAAACATACAAATATTCATTTTTTAGATTTCTGATGCTAGTTTTCTGTTTATACTTGACGGCCCATTTCCTTCCATGAAAACACATTAAAGGSACAGTTTTCAGCAGTAACTCAGTTTTATCATGTGATCTTACTTTCTCCAGATCATGCTGAGAGGCCTGCAGTAACGTTTGTCCTGATTTGATCCAGCTCTGGCCCTGAGCTGCAAACAAACCCAGGCCCTGCTCATGGAGCCACGCACACACTTCATCTTTAGTCCAGCGAGCGAAAGGAACGTCAACCGTCCTGGACAAAAACACATTTTAGTTTTTTTATTTTATTTTACAATTCAACAATGTTCTATTAAATAATTACAACAATTATAAACCAGGGTTATTTCTACAGGAACATGATTTAGTTTCTTCTGTAAGTTTATAAAACTACACTTGTAGTTTTACAAAGAYTCAAGCAGCTGCCTTTACAACTACAAATTACTTTTATTTTCTCTAAGCTATGTGCTAAATTTAAACACTTACTTCTGCTTTGAGTCACGCGACCAGCCGAGCCGTGGGCCGGCGGTGGCTCTGACTCCGCCCCTCCTGAACTCCATCTCAGCATCGTCGAGGTCTAAGGAGGTGGAGTGACTCCTCTTTAGCCTGAGAGGGAGTCACATGACAAATGACTAACAGATAGTTGTAGAATGACTCCACCAGTCGACAGATGGATTACCTGCCAAAGAATTTCCTCAACCCTCTCGACTTCTTCTTGGCTTCTGGGGATGATGGTAAAGGAGCTCCATCATGGGTTTTCTTGGAGGGAACACCAGCCAAGTCCAGGTGCTCAGTGCCTTTACGATCTGTCTCAGCTGTAAAATTAATCACATGAGCATCAACACAAAACACTTCAACCACAGGAGGTTTAGTTTAAACACTGATTCCACTCATGCAGGACAACAAATTATTAGAARAAAAGTTTACTTTTACTCCTGACGAATAAAAACTAAAATATATGACGGCATAAAGTCATGAAAGAGACAACTGATGTTTCTGCCTCGTCTCTGACAAGTCACCATGATATGAAAAACAGGAGRAAACAGAGATAGTGACTCAGTCATTCCCCACCCCTTCTTGCTAAATATACAGTTAGATTTCTAACGTGATTTTAATTAACAGGGATGAAGATAAAACAGTAAATGGTGATAATGGATCACCAGGAAAAGCAGTTAAAATGAAATTATTTTTAACAAGTAAAATAAATGAGTTCTTCTGAGGCAATGAATACATCCAGCTGTACCATCAGCATAACCAACACTATTATCCCGCTCTAATGTAGGTGAATCCACACAAGTATGCTTTTTTTAATCAGTTCACACAGCCATGAAAAACAAACAAAAAAAAAACCATAATTAAAATAAATTGTTTTGTCATATTCACCGAGGTTTGGGACGCTGGATGCTTGCTTTCCTCCACGCAGCTTAAAAAAGCCACGGCCGAATGAAGCGCGAGCCTTTTTAGTGCCAAAACTGCCTTCAGTCGTGTTTCCTTTAGTAGAAGAAGAAGATCCYGCCCTGGCTTTAGTTTTAGCCTACAAGGGAAAAGTACAAAGCAGATGAGTCAGAACGTGGCCTAAAGAGAATAATGTTCTAAAATGTTAAGTGTAAATGAAGACTGACACTGCAACATTTAACCAGCAGGTGTCAGAACAAGACTYCAGGAGGACTGCAGTGAGCCGGATACACAAACTAAAAACCTGCTCAACTGTTTAAACCAGTGAAATCCTAGTGAAGTTTCCAGATGGGTCAGAGTCTCTGATACTGGAGGTCTTACCTGGTCTGAGTTTCTGCTCACAGCTGATCTGCCTGTCTGTGGARCATCTAAACATCTGAAACAAGGTCAGGAAAAAAAAAAAAACAAACAGCTTCATGTCAAGTATTTCTCTTAAAATGCACCAAAACCCAAATGATTTGAGATTTGATGCGCCAAAGCTAAACAGGAAGTGACATCAAAGGGCAAACTCTTTAAAAAGGAGAACTTCCTGGACTTTGTTTATTCAGAATATAATATTTGAAATCAATATTTTTACGTCTCTGATAACGACTCTAAATGATCTAAAGAAACACCAGATTTTTCTACTGCCTGATATGTTCATCACTGCATCAATGCTCTGTTTACATTCAGCTCTTTGTCATCACTTCCTGTTACTGTTCATCCCAGCATGAAATTATCTTTGCAAAATGCTATCTTTCTAATAATCACAGAAATCTGATGTCACAGGCCAGCTCACATTACATTTGTTGTGTTCCAACTGCAAAATAAGAACGTTTAGACAAAGTAACACGGAGGTTGTCTCTGCTGATTTACCTTTTACTTCATGACACATTATAGATCTAAAGCTTCTGGCCTGCACTGGTGTGGCAGCAGTCACAAACCTCGGTAACATTTATTCCAGGATAGTTTTAGTTCTAAGACATTTAAAGCTCAATGTCTGCAGTGTAGGAAAAAATAAAAATAAATAAATAAACATATTCTTATTCACATCATAGATTCTTATTTTTTGTCACYATGTGACTTTTCTAACATCTGATTTGGTAACTGTTATATATTTAGCAGGTATATAAAACTCCAGGAAGCTTAATATTCCAGCAGCATGAAGCAGATGGTTACTTTCAGAAAATATAAACTTTTAACACAAGCAGAGACCAGAGTGGTAACYGTGATTCAGGGGCATGAAAGTAAAAATACACACCTAGGGCTGCATAATATTAGAAAAATCTGTCATGTGCAATAAGGTTTAATATTGCAATGACAATATAACTTGTGAACAACAAATAAATACATAAATATGTAGTGTTGATGTCTTTCTGCTCTGGGTTCAGAGGGGAAAAAGCATTTTGATTCCAGCATGAATTTTTTAAATATATGAAGAGATCTACATGGAGGGCTCCYTTTGATTGGTGAAATACATCAAGCTTCCATGACACAACTCATAAATGCACATTTCTGAGCCAACCATTTATTGCCGTTTATGCAGCTTTTAGTGATATGAATATTGCACAGGCTATGAGATGAAGATAAATGTTGGATATATTGTGCAGCACTAAACACATCCATCATTCAAAGAAACAAACTTTAATCATGTCCTTTCCTCTGACACCTACAATTATTTGTAGGGGTGCAACAATACATGTACCCGTATTGAACCGTTCAATACAGTGCTTTAGGTTCAATACACACTTGTGTCGAACAATACAGATTTTTAAAATTTACTTTATCAGCTTGTCTTGTGAAGATGCTCTGTGTTGAAGGATCAGTGYATCTGTGTTCGACTACTCCACCTAGGCTGCAATGTGGAGCACAGATCCACTGAGAAACTTGCTGTTTCAGCAAAATTTAAGTTTAAATTTAATTTAAAAATGGTACTTTTGAGGTTAAAACAAATGTCCATAAATCCATAATTTCAATAAATTACAAGTTAAAAAGGGCATGTAAATTTCTGTTATTTGTATCGAAATATATATTGAACCGTGAGACTAAAGTATTGAACCGAATCATGAATTTTCTGTATCGTTGCACCCCTAATTATTTGAGTAGAAAACCAGAAATAAACAACTTAACATTTATTTGATTTAATTAAAAGCATTAATTTACCTTTGAGCTGCTTGTAATTGTCGTTCTCTGTCCAGTTCCTTCATCTCAGAGAGAACTGCTATACACGGACTGGACTGAGACACCAGGAGACAAAGCTGATTAACTGGACATATTTCCTAAGAGCAGACAGTCTAACAGTCTGACACATAAGAACCAGAACAGAACCTCTGAGTTCCAAGGAAAAAAAAAAGGGGGTTTTAAGAGGGAGGCAGAGACTGAGATGTTAGAAAGGAAGTCTACAGTCTGGMGGTCATCCTGTGTCAGCTGTTTGGACAGAGGTTGTGTTTACCTCTCCGGAGCTCCTTCCTGCCTCCCCCTCCAAACCCAGGGTGACCTGATCCACCTCCATGGACACAGAAAGCGAGGGATCGTCATGAATATCAGCGTAGTCCTCCTCTTTCAGCTTCTCTGAAAGAAGCCAGTTCACACAGTCATGCACTGAATCACAGAGGACTTATCTTCTTTCAGAGTTCAGCCAAGTTTTTAGGCTTCTGACGGGTTTTTTTAAGAGTTCAAAAACATCTTTATAACAAAATACATCAGCAAAGGTTCTTTCTGCTTCTTCTTGGTGGCTAAAAGTTACTATACTATATAAATGTTTTCTCTAATTGCTCAGAAAATGTAACAAAATCCTTTGTTTCCCAGAAAACCTTGCTGCCACTCATTTCACTGACTACATTTCTGAATTAGTGGTGGATTAACTTTGCGTTTTAGGAGTAATATTTGRGCTGGAAACAATCCTCACCTTTGGCCACCTCCTGCACTTTCCTGCACTTTGTAAGTGACACCTCCAGCTCTTTAATCCGTCTTTCCTGCAGATAAACACAGAGCGCTTGAAGTCGAGACGCATTCAGCAGGTCAGAGCAGCAGCTGCCAAACGGCTCTGTACCTTCTCATTGTTCTCCGACGTCAGCAGCTCCAACACCCTCTTCATCTTCACCACTTCAGCATCTGGAAAAGAAAAGTTATTTATGGTGGATTGTCTTCAGCTCTAGAAGGTTCTGAAAAGAGGCAGCAGGGGGGGCAGTATACTGGTCAGCAGCAATGTTGCTGCTGCTAAGTGCTCTGAATTTAGTGCTCACCACAAATAAAAAACTCTGAGATTATCTGCGTTTTACAAAGAATGAAGCACAATTAAATAGTTGCAAACCACTTGGTAATCAGATGCAGACATCATGAGCTCCTAATTACACCAGCAACAACAGCTTGGTGTCACTTGTGACCAAAATATGTGAAACTCAAAGACGTCTCCTCAGTTCTGCAGAGTAAACTCAAACAGTGTTTCTCTAGCTACGTTTCCATTGCAAATGTGCGCAAAACTTTGTCGATATTCTGTTAATGTCGAAAAAACACAGTTTTGCAACTGCAGTGTTTCCATTAAGTAAGAAATGCTATTAAAGTCACGCGTGAATTCGTTTGTTCTCATGATAATTCCTTACAAATATGGCGGCAACGGATGTAAACACATAGCATGTTGCTACTGCGACACTAGCGCTCATCATCAGAGGAGACATCGGCGTCTTTTATCGAGGCTTTCCAGCGACAAGCCCCTACTTGGGAGCGACTACGTATGCTGTGTTTTTGGGAAATTGTAGTCGGTGAGTTTACTATTTTATACTACTTCTGTGATATTACTACTACTTCTWCTTCCTGTTACCTTCGTCGTCATCGTCTTTTTCACCAGTAGAAACAGCTGGTTGTTGATCATGTGACTCCCATGATGCAAAAAAAAAGTGTTTCCATTGCAGTTTTGCGAAAAACACCAATTTCGATACGGCCGAAAAACCACCTCATCCTAGCGCAAAAACATTTTGTCGAAAAATGTAATTTTTGTTCAAAATTGACGCGTTTCCATTGAGCAAATTTATTTTCGAAATTCTAATTTGCGCATTTTCATGGTCAATGGAAACGCAGCTTCTGACAACCTGTTACTATCATCCACTTGAATCGAAAATAAGAAAACTTCTGATGAAATGAAACTAAAACCTACAGATTTTCAGGTTTCGGACTAACACGACATCAAACACTCTGCTTTAAATGAATTCCTTCAGCAGCAGCAGKAGGGATAAGATAAGGTCAGCAGTGGGTGGGAGGAGTGAGACAGTCAAATGTGTTTGAGACAGATTTTCCAGACAGAAGAATAAAAAAGGAAATCACYACAATAAGTTACTTCAGCTCTGCTTAAACTGTCTGAGAAATAAAAAATAATTAATGCAAAAACAATCCAGATGAAGCCGCTACAGGGGGATGTGTTGAAATGTAAAATGTCTTTGTCTAATCCTCTTAAACCCCTTTAAATTAGAGCTGAACTGCATGAAATGACAGAAAACTTATTAGAAACACCTCCCACCTCTTTCTTCTCCTTCACTTGTGTTGTGGGTCTCCACCTTCAACCTGCTGTCATCCTTCAACCTCCTCAGCTCCTCCTCGCGCTCCTCCAGCTGCCTCTGCAGATCCTGCAGCTCCTCCTGTAAAGAGCGATGATGTCATATTGTTAAATGGTTTAAGTCATTATCTTGAAGAATAATTGTTAAAAGTGAAACTCCAGCTGAGGATTTTAGATAAAAGTTGAAGGATTCAAACTGGGAGGATTTAATAAATTATCCTTACATTAAAACAAAAATAAAACCTCCTCCTTAATAAATGTATTAATGTGTTCTAAAACAATGATTATGAGCAACACAGCTTAGACTCAGTTCAGTTTAATACATGCATCAGTTAGTGTATGCATTATTCTACTTTGTTCATGAGCTTGTGTCGATCACAAAACGCATGCAAATCAGTGGGCACTTCAAAAAACACAACTCATACTATTATCCTTCACAACTAAACTTGTATTAATATGTTCTGATTAACAACTAATGTTGATTTACACCTTGAATAAAGCAACACTGACTCAATCAAATTTGTGAGTTATGTAAACAAACAATGCTTCACAAATCCAGTGAGCACTTACAGAAAGTGTGGTGAAAGTCAGGAAAGCAGTGAGCAGCAGTGAAGGAGGAGCTGCTTTAGAGGATCTTAACAGGCAGGAAAAAAAAGAGCAAGCTGGAGATTAAACCTTCACCTCATCTCCAATGAAGCGCTCAGAGATCCACTTTAAACGCTTGAGAAGTAAGAAGAATGTTGCAAAAAGATGTTTAAATGACAGAAGAAATTTGAAGATCAGAGGACATGAAGAGGGGGAATCTATGTAGAGATAATGAGACTGGAAGTATTGGTGCGGTTCAGATGATTTCAGCTCCCATATGTTCACCGGATGTTGACTCACTTTGGTAGCTTTCAGCTTCCTCTCACTCTGAAGTCGTTCATTCTCAGTGTCGGTCATCCTGAACCGCAGGTCGGTTATTTCTTTGTACAAACCCTGAGGAGGAAGAATTCACTCATCGTCAAACTCAGAAAGTTTATCATAATCACTGCATTGGATCTACCTCCATCACACCAACCCTCTTCATATCCTCCCTCACTGCATCCTTCTCTGTGGTCTTTCCAACAAAAAACACAAAGTGAAATTATTGAGCACACTTTCAGGTAAAATGCTCTAATAGTGAAGTATAAATAAATAAATATATATTAGGGCTGTGAAATTAATCGAGTTAACTCATATTGATTAATTTTAGTGCTGGGCATAGATTAAATTTTTTAATCACGATTAATCAATTTTTTTTTTTTTTTTACCAACAATCAATTTACTATGGTTGAATACAGTATGTAGGTTTGTACATTGCAATGCACTC